TTGTGGTGAGTGGATAGTATATGGGTTAGGTATATAATTAATATAATATTATAATTATTATAAATTTAATTTTTTACCTGATTTTTTTTTTAAAAAAATAGTTTTATACCTTATGTTTGAATTTGAAAGTTTAATGGTAGGATTTTGTGTAATTTCCCCTTAATTTATCAGGAATACCGAAGCCCAAAGGCCTGACCAGTTCCCATATCCAGCAATTGGTCCGTCTCCGGGAATGACTACGGCGACAGCCGGCCTCGGATCATAACCTAATTATACTTTGGTAAATGAGTTTAATTAATCTAAAGTTTGGTCTTCATTTATGAACTCAGATTTTTAAAATAAGAAATTTTCATGTGGCTTAATCACATGTTATACGGATTTTATACATTTTTGTTCATGTAAATTCGTTACGACAAAATTAAGCAAATAAAAAAGGAGCAATCTTGCTTAAAATTGGCATATGTTTTGAAAACTACAAACATAAGTATCAAGTAACATTGACATATCCATGTTTGACTCTCTTTAAACAAAATAATTCATTTATCATACTTATTTTTAACTATACATTCACGTAATCAAATATTTTTCACATAAACCTATTTTTTTTCACTTGTTAACCATACATTTACCAAAAAATCATTATTCAAAATATCATTTTTACACAATAATGACCATTAAATAGGGGCTAAAAAAAATACATACTCTGTGTGGAAGAGATTTTTTGAGAAGCAATTTAACTTTGGCATGGCTTTCGAGTAGATAAAAGGAACTTTTGAAATTCAAAAGTTGCTTTTGAACCTCATTTAATTAATGTTATAAAAGTATTTCTTTTAATTAAAAGAGTTGTTAGAGAAAGTTGGTTCAACGTGACTTCCTTTAAAAGCTCTTTCGAAAGAGGGATCTGTTTTATAAATTAGTTTTTAAACAATAAATTAAAGTAACTTCTTTAAAAAACTCTTCTACGAAAAGTAGAAATCCAGCCAAATAGACCCTTAGATTAATTTTCGTTAAAAACTCTTTTAATTAGATAAAGTACTCTCACAACATTATCCAAAATATTCAAAAATAATAATTTCATCGTTTTAAAAGTAATTTTTGACTTTCAAAATGTTTTATCAAGTGGGATCTTTAGTCAATTGATAACTCTCTTGACTTCACTAACGAAAACAAAGTTTTCTTTAGCCTCCATTTGATTTACATTATCATCTCATTAAAATGAAAAATATGACCGTTATTCATCATATTAACATTTAAATTCAAATTTT